CTAAGGGGACAGGACAACTTCACCGCATCAAAGGGACGATGGACGGGGCCACGTACCGTCAAATCTTGGGTGAGAACCTCCTTCCCTCAGCCAGGGCATTGAAAATGGGTAGTGGATTGGTATTCCAGCATGACAATGACCCAAAACACACAGCCAAGGCAACAAAGGAGTGGCTCAAGAAGACGCACATTAAGGTCCTGGAGTGGCCTAGCCAGTCTCCAGACCTTAATCCCATAGAAAATCTGTGGAGGGAGCTGAAGGTCGAGTTGCCAAACGTCAGCCTCGAAACCTTAATGACTTGGAGAAGATCTGCAAAGAGCAGTGGAACAAAATCCCTCCTGAGATGTGTGCAAACCTGGTGGCCAACTACAAGAAACGTCTGACCGCTGTGATTGCCAACAAGGGTTTTGCCACCAAGTACTAAGTCATGTTTTGCAGAGGGGTCAAATACTTATTTCCCTTATTAAAATGCAAATCAATTCATAACATTTTTGACATGCGTTTTTCTGGATTTTGTTGTTGTTATTCTGTCTCTCACTGTTCAAATAAACCTACCATTAAAATTATAGACTAATCGTGTCTTTGTCAGTGGGCAAACGTACAAAATCAGCAGGGGATCAAATACTTTTTTCCCTCACTGTATGTAATGGTCATTTGAAAAGACACTAACAATCAAACACAAACAATTCACACAATGAAGGTATGAAACAATGAATGCACACGAAATGGCGGGAGAGCACGCATTCTGGATAGAGACATGCCTTTTGCATCTTAGCCACACTCCTCCTTCTTCTTGGGCTGAGCCAATCCCCTGTGGCCTCCGCAATGGATTAGTCCACTGAGACAGGTGCTAATCAGACCGGTCCATTGCCATTCAAAATAAAAGAAAATGTATTTGCGACTACTGGACTAAAAAGAATCTCAGTCGACTAACCAACCAAACGACTAAATGGGGTCACTATGCATCTAAAACAATTGTCTTTCTGAACAGACTGAATAATATGTATAAACAGCGGTGCGATAATTAAGCAATAAGGCCCAGGGGGTTGTATATGATCAATATACCACGGCTAAAGGCTGTTCTTATGCACCACACAACTCGCCTGGATACAGCCCTTAGCAGTGGTATATTGATCAATGCACCACACAACTCGCCTGGATACAGCCCTTAGCAGTGGTATATTGATCAATGCACCACACAACTCGCCTGGATACAGCCCTTAGCAGTGGTATATTGATCAATGCACTACACAACTCGCCTGGATACAGCCCTTAGCCGTGGTATATTGATCAATGCACCACACAACTCGCCTGGATACAGCCCTTAGCGGTGGTATATTGATCAATGCACCACACAACTCGCCTGGATACAGCCCTTAGCAGTGGTATATTGATCAATGCACTACACAACTCGCCTGGATACAGCCCTTAGCCGTGGTATATTGATCAATGCACCACACAACTCGCCTGGATACAGCCCTTAGCGGTGGTATATTGATCAATGCACCACACAACTCGCCTGGATACAGCCCTTAGCGGTGGTATATTGATCAATGCACCACACAACTCGCCTGGATACAGCCCTTAGCAGTGGTATATTGATCAATGCACTACACAACTCGCCTGGATACAGCCCTTAGCAGTGGTATATTGATCAATGCACCACACAACTCGCCTGGATACAGCCCTTAGCAGTGGTATATTGATCAATGCCCCACACAACTCGCCTGGATACAGCCCTTAGCCGTGGTATATTGATCAATGCACCACACAACTCGCCTGGATACAGCCCTTAGCAGTGGTATATTGATCAATGCACATACACAACTCGCCTGGATACAGCCCTTAGCCGTGGTATATTGATCAATGCACCACACAACTCGCCTGGATACAGCCCTTAGCCGTGGTATATTGATCAATGCACCACACAACTCGCCTGGATACAGCCCTTAGCCGTGGTATATTGATCATATATCACCAACTCCAGAGATGCCTTACTGCTATAGAAACTTTTGACAAACATAATTAGGGCTTGAACCATCCAGTTTATAATGATAATGATACATCAGAATGACAGATCTATAGTGGCTGATGGCGTTTCAAGACAAATGGGACCTCGGCAAAAAACGAGGTCAAATCATGAAGTCAGTGATCTTCAGGTCAGAAAGTCGGATTTCTAGAAAGATGCCCGAGTTTCCGACTTGGAATTCCGAGTTGGGTGACAGTTCAAAACTATTTTTCCAAGTCATTTTCTTCCGAGTTCCCAGTATTCATGAACACACTGAAGTCTTTCTGAGTTCCCAGTTTTCATGAACACACTGAAGTCTTTCTGAGTTCCCAGTTTTCATGAACACACTGAAGTCTTTCTGAGTTCCCAGTTGTCATGAACGCACTGAAGTCTTTCTGAGTTCCCAGTTTTCATGAACACACTGAAGTCTTTCTGAGTTCCCAGTATTCATGAACACACTGAAGTCTTTCTGAGTTCCCAGTTGTCATGAACGCACTGAAGTCTTTCTGAGATCCCAGTTGTTTGAACGTGGCATGAGACACGGCTGACTTAAACATGTGACCTCTAGTGACCCAACAATGACCCTGATGTGTAGTCCCCAACACACCTCTTATGAGCGATCGATGACCCTGATGTGTAGTCCCCAACACACCTCTTATGAGCGATCGATGACCCTGATGTGTAGTCCCCACCACACCTCTTATGAGCGATCGATGACCCTGATGTGTAGTCCCCACCACACCTCTTATGAGCGATCGATGACCCTGATGTGTAGTCCCCACCACACCTCTTATGAGCGATCGATGACCCTGATGTGTAGTCCCCACCACACCTCTTATGAGCGATTGATGACCCTGAAGTGTAGTCCCCACCACACCTCTTATGAGCGATCGATGACCCTGAAGTGTAGTCCCCACCACACCTCTTATGAGCGATCGATGACCCTGATGTGTAGTCCCCAACACACCTCTTATGAGCGATCGATGACCCTTATGTGTAGTCCCCACCACACCTCTTATGAGCGATCGATGACCCTGATGTGTAGTCCCCATCACACCTCTTATGAGCGATCGATGACCCTGATGTGTAGTCCCCACCACACCTCTTATGAGCGATCGATGACCCTGATGTGTAGTACCCAACACACCTCTTATGAGCGATCGATGACCCTGATGTGTAGTCCCCATCAACACACCTCTTATGAGCGATCGATGACCCTGGTGTGTAGTCCCCACCACACCTCTTATGAGCGATCGATGACCCTGATGTGTAGTCCCCAACACACCTCTTATGAGCGATCGATGACCCTGATGTGTAGTCCCCACCACACCTCTTATGAGCGATCGATGACCCTGATGTGTAGTCCCCACCACACCTCTTATGAGCGATTGATGACCCTGAAGTGTAGTCCCCACCACACCTCTTATGAGCGATCGATGACCCTGAAGTGTAGTCCCCACCACACCTCTTATGAGCGATCGATGACCCTGATGTGTAGTCCCCAACACACCTCTTATGAGCGATCGATGACCCTTATGTGTAGTCCCCACCACACCTCTTATGAGCGATCGATGACCCTGATGTGTAGTCCCCCCACCACACCTCTTATGAGCGATCGATGACCCTGATGTGTAGTCCCCACCACACCTCTTATGAGCGATCGATGACCCTGATGTGTAGTCCCCATCAACACACCTCTTATGAGCGATCGATGACCCTGGTGTGTAGTCCCCACCACACCTCTTATGAGCGATCGATGACCCTGATGTGTAGTCCCCAACACACCTCTTATGAGCGATCGATGACCCTGATGTGTAGTCCCCCACACACCTCTTATGAGCGATCGATGACCCTGATGTGTAGTCCCCACCACACCTCTTATGAGCGATCGATGACCCTGATGTGTAGTCCCCCCCACACCTCTTATGAGCGATCGATGACCCTGATGTGTAGTCCCCACCACACCTCTTATGAGCGATCGATGACCCTGATGTGTAGTCCCCAACACACCTCTTATGAGCGATCGATGACCCTGATGTGTAGTACCCAACACACCTCTTATGAGCGATCGATGACCCTGATGTGTAGTCCCCACCACACCTCTTATGAGCGATCGATGACCCTGATGTGTAGTACCCAACACACCTCTTATGAGCGATCGATGACCCTGATGTGTAGTCCCCATCACACCTCTTATGAGCGATCGATGACCCTGGTGTGTAGTCCCCACCACACCTCTTATGAGCGATCGATGACCCCGATGTGTAGTCCCCCACCAACACACCTCTTATGAGCGATCGATGACCCTGATGTGTAGTCCCCACCAACACCTCTTATGAGTGATCGATGACCCTGATGTGTAGTCCCCACCACACCTCTTATGAGCGATCGATGACCCTGATGTGTAGTCCCCACCAACACACCTCTTATGAGCGATCGATGACCCTGATGTGTAGTCCCTACCACACCTCTTATGAGCGATCGATGACCCTGATGTGTAGTCCCTACCACACCTCTTATGAGCGATCGATGACCCTGATGTGTAGTCCCCACCAACACACCTCTTATGAGCGATCAATGACCCTGATGTGTAGTCCCCAACACACCTCTTATGAGCGATCGATGACCCTGATGTGTAGTCCCCATCAACACACCTCTTATGAGCGATCGATGACCCTGATGTGTAGTCCCCAACACACCTCTTATGAGCGATCGATGATCCTGATGTGTAGTCCCCACCACACCTCTTATGAGCGATCGATGACCCTGATGTGTAGTCCCCACCATCACACCTCTTATGAGCGATCGATGACCCTGATGTGTAGTCCCCACCAACACACCTCTTATGAGCGATCGATGACCCTGAAGTGTAGTCCCCACCACACCTCTTATGAGCGATCGATGACCCTGATGTGGTCCCCACCACACCTCTTATGAGCGATCGATGACCCTGAAGTGTAGTCCCCACCAACACACCTCTTATGAGCGATCGATGACCCTGATGTGTAGTCCCCACCACACCTCTTATGAGCGATCGATGACCCTGATGTGTAGTCCCCACCAACACACCTCTTATGAGCGATCGATGACCCTGATGTGTAGTCCCCACCAACACACCTCTTATGAGCGATCGATGACCCTGATGTGTAGTACCCAACACACCTCTTATGAGCGATCGATGACCCTGATGTGTAGTCCCCACCAACACACCTCTTATGAGCGATCGATGACCCTGATGTGTAGTCCCCACCAACACACCTCTTATGAGCGATCGATGACCCTGATGTGTAGTCCCCACCAACACACCTCTTATGAGCGATCGATGACCCTGAAGTGTAGTCCCCAACACACCTCTTATGAGCCATCGATGACCCTGAAGTGTAGTCCCCACCACACCTCTTATGAGCGATCGATGACCCTGAAGTGTAGTCCCCACCAACACACCTCTTATGAGCGAGCGATCGATGACCCTGAAGTGTAGTCCCCACCACACCTCTTATGAGCGATCGATGACCCTGATGTGTAGTCCCCACCAACACACCTCTTATGAGCGATCGATGACCCTGATGTGTAGTCCCCACCAACACACCTCTTATGAGCGATCGATGACCCTGATGTGTAGTACCCAACACACCTCTTATGAGCGATCGATGACCCTGATGTGTAGTCCCCACCAACACACCTCTTATGAGCGATCGATGACCCTGATGTGTAGTCCCCACCAACACACCTCTTATGAGCGATCGATGACCCTGATGTGTAGTCCCCACCAACACACCTCTTATGAGCGATCGATGACCCTGAAGTGTAGTCCCCAACACACCTCTTATGAGCCATCGATGACCCTGAAGTGTAGTCCCCACCACACCTCTTATGAGCGATCGATGACCCTGAAGTGTAGTCCCCACCAACACACCTCTTATGAGCGAGCGATCGATGACCCTGAAGTGTAGTCCCCACCACACCTCTTATGAGCGATCGATGACCCTGATGTGTAGTCCCCACCAACACACCTCTTATGAGCGATCGATGACCCTGATGTGTAGTCCCCACCAACACACCTCTTATGAGCGATCGATGACCCTGAAGTGTAGTCCCCAACACACCTCTTATGAGCGATCGATGACCCTGAAGTGTAGTCCCCACCACACCTCTTATGAGCGATCGATGACCCTGAAGTGTAGTCCCCACCACACCTCTTATGACAGGTATTAGGAGGTAGCTACAACACTCTCTAGAAGGTGAAATACAACAACAGTCTGATGGCCTTTTTTTATTTATTTACAGCATTTTCAAACATTTCAAGTTCCCTTTGCATTCTGATTATTAACAACACTAAGAGATCAGAGCCTTTATACAGCAGAAGGAAGGGAGAGGTTATTTGAGTCTGTGTGATTGACAGAGCTCCAACAGATGGATTTCTCCATCAGCACCATTAGGCCTGTTGGTTCATACAATCAAACTCATGTATAAGAGGGTTAAAACAAAACCAATACTGCATAAACAGAGAGGAAATAACTTCATTTGTGCAAAACAAAAGACAGTCAGAATTTTGGGTGGGTTATTATAAATAAGAAATCATATTTAAGGACACTAGGAATTTATTTTAAAAGAGCAACAACTATAATTTGAGCCTGTGAGCCATTTGAAGATGTAGACCTGCTGGGCTATAGAGAAGACGATGATGAGGAATATTACCCAGTTAACAAAAACAGGAAGTAAAAAGGTCTGCAGACTAAATGAAACTAAAGGCAACACAGAGGTTGCATCCCAAACGCCACCCTATTCCCCCTATAGCGCATTACTTTTGACCAGAGCCCAATGGAGTAGACTATGAAGCACTCCACTGTAAAGGACACAGAGAGCCATTACTGATGACCAGAGCCCAATGGAGTAGACTATGAAGCACTCCACTGTAAAGGACACAGAGAGCCATTACTTTTGACCAGAGCCCAATGGAGTAGACTATGAAGCACTCCACTGTAAAGGACACAGAGAGCCATTACTGATGACCAGAGCCCAATGGAGTAGACTATGAAGCACTCCACTGTAAAGGACACAGAGAGCCATTACTTTTGACCAGAGCCCAATGGAGTAGACTATGAAGCACTCCACTGTAAAGGACACAGAGAGCCATTACTGATGACCAGAGCCCAATGGAGTAGACTATGAAGCACTCCACTGTAAAGGACACAGAGAGCCATTACTTTTGACCAGAGCCCAATGGAGTAGACTATGAAGCACTCCACTGTAAAGGACGCAGAGAGCCATTACTTTTGACCAGAGCCCAATGGAGTAGACTATGAAGCACTCCACTGTAAAGGACGCAGAGAGCCATTACTTTTGACCAGAGCCCAATGGAGTAGACTATGAAGCACTCCACTGTAAAGGACGCAGAGAGCCATTACTTTTGACCAGAGCCCAATGGAGTAGACTATGAAGCACTCCACTATAAAGGACGCAGAGAGCCATTACTGATGACCAGAGCCCAATGGAGTAGACTATGAAGCACTCCACTGTAAAGGATGCAGAGAGCCATTTGGGACAGTGCAGTTCTAACAACTAACTGTTAACGCAACCTTCATTCATGAAGAACCTTTCCTCTCTTTAGTCTCACTGACAGAAGTTGGCAGCTTGGAGAAGAGGCCAGAAGTTATCAAACTAAACAATAATAACAATTATAGACTATTTACAACATAAAGCATACATGAATATACCACTGGAATAATATACCACTGGAATCATATACCACTGGAATCATATACCACTGTAGATTGAGGTGGGGGTCAGGTAGGGGTCGCGAGTGGCGCAGTGGTCTAAGGCACTGCATCACAGTGCTAGCTGTGCCACTAGAGATCCTGGTTCGAATCCAGGCTCTGTCGCAGCCGGCCGCGACGGGGAGACCCATGGGGCGGCGCACAATTGGCCCAGCGTCGTCCAGGGTAGGGGAGGGAATGGCCGGCAGGGTTTGCAACGCCAGGGTTGTGGGTTCGATTCCCACGGGGGGCCAGTATGAAAAAAATAAAATAAAAAATAATGTATGCACTCACTAACTGTAAGTCGCTCTGGATAAGAGCGTCTGCTAAATGACAAAAAATTTAAATGTAAAAATGTAAGGTCTTGTTAGTAGATTGAGGTGGGGTCAGGTAGGGGTCAGGGTCTAGATAGTAGATTGAGGTGGGGGTCAGGTAGGGGTCAGGGTCTAGATAGTAGATTGAGGTGGGGGTCAGGTAGGGGTCAGGGTCTAGATAGTAGATTGAGGTGGGGTCAGGTAGGGGTCAGGGTCTAGATAGTAGATTGAGGTGGGGTCAGGTAGGGGTCAGGGTCTAGATAGTAGATTGAGGTGGGGTCAGGTAGGGGTCAGGGTCTAGATAGTAGATTGAGGTGGGGTCAGGTAGGGGTCAGGGTCTAGATAGCAGATTGAGGTGGGGTCAGGTAGGGGTCAGGGAGGGGTCAGGGGTCTCCAACAGGTCCGTCTCCAGCTACCATTAGCTACCAGACAACCTATGAGTAGCTCGCCAAACTATTCTGAAAGTACATGGAATTTGACAAGTATCAGAAACCGCAAGCTCCCAGCTAATATCTAATCAACTCAACATTGACATTATCCCACCCCTGGTTAGCCACTATTGGCTTAAAAAGCCAAACCTAACACAATATCTGCCAATTAATTTCCTGTAATATTGCCCCTGTCTGTCTGTGTGGTGCAGGCGTTTGTCTATCACTCTGTGTGTAGCCAGTTGATGTGATAACCGTCCAGTGGGTTGACAGAAATACTTTCCCCAAAACCTTCTCAATTAAATGTTAACTGCAAACTGGCAGAAGTCTATCATGAGGAAGTCTATCATGAGGAAGTCTATCATGAGGAAGTCTACCATGAGGAAGTCTATCATGAGGAAGTCTATCATGAGGAAATATATCATGAGGAAGTCTATAATTTGTATCTATTATTGGTTATTTGCTAACTCTGCCATGAACTGAGCAGCAGCAGTACAGAACCATCACTAGACCAGCACATTAGACGGCCCATTCCTCACTCACTAGACACCCAATTAAAGGGCCAGGCACATCAGATGGCCCATTCCTCACTCACTAGACGCCCAATTAAAGGGCCAGGCACATCAGATGGCCCATTCCTCACTCACTAGACGCCCAATTAAAGGGCCAGGCACATCAGATGGCCCATTCCTCACTCACTAGACGCCCAATTAAAGGGCCAGGCACATCAGATGGCCCATTCCTCACTCACTAGACACCCAATTAAAGGGCCAGGCACATCAGATGGCCCATTCCTCACTCACTAGACGCCCAATTAAGGGCCAGGCACATCAGATGGCCCATTCCTCACTCACTAGACGCCCAATTAAAGGGCCAGGCACATCAGATGGCCCATTCCTCACTCACTAGACGCCCAATTAAAGGGCCAGGCACATTAGACGGCACATTCCTCACTCACTAGACGCCCAATTAAAGGGCCAGATGCGCAATTAAAGGGGAATTACACTCCAAAACATTCTTCCAGACCTAAAAATGGTTTCTCCTGATGTGATTTAAGCATTGACATGGACTCAGAACATCCAATTTCGTTGTTTCTCTACGAACAATTTCAATTTTGAGAATGAAAAACAAAACAAAAATCTCAAATAAAACTGAGAAAACAATTTGGGAAAATATAAAACAGAAGAATTGGGGAGAAGAAAAATAAATCTCAGATTTGACCAGGGCCCCCCCCCCTTAGTGTTTATTAACCATTATTATAGCAGGTATATTGACAGGAAACACAGCGCACTACTTCCTCTTGTACACGGAGGACCCGGGGAAGAGCTGCAGGGGAGAAGAGAAGAGAAGAGTGGACCTATTGGAAAGACTGAGACATGTTGCATTTCTAAAAGGTAGCTCTCATGCCAGAAACGGGTTGGAGACCCCTGGTCTAGATAGTGGATTGAGGTGGGGGTTTAGGATGAGGTGAGAGTCAGGGGGTGAGGGTTTTAGGTGAGGTGAGAGTCAGGGGTGAGGGTTTAGGATGAGGTGAGAGTCAGGTGGTGAGGGTTTAGGATGAGGTGAGAGTTGAGGGGTGAGGGTTTTAGGGATGAGGTGAGAGTCAGGGGGTGAGGGTTTAGGGTAGGTGAGAGTCCAGGGGGTGAGGGGTTTAGGGTGAGGTGAAGTCCAGTGGTGAGGGTTTAGGGGTGGGGTGAGAGTCAGGGGTGAGGGTTTAGGATGAGGTGAGTCAGTGTGAGGGTTTGTGATGAGGTGAGATTGGGGTGAGGGTTTAGGATGAGGTGAGAGTCAGGGGTGAGGGTTTAGGGTGAGGGTGAGAGTCAGGGGGTGAGGGTTTAGGATGAGGTGAGAGTCAGGTGGTGAGGGTTTAGGATGAGGTGAGAGTCAGGTGGTGAGGGTTTAGGATGAGGTGAGAGTCAGGTGGTGAGGGTTTAGGATGAGGTTAGGATAGTCAGTGGTGGTGAGGGTTTAGGATGAGGTGGA